TAAGAGAAATTCCTAGATTTATTTGTCATCATTATTGATTTATTGGAAAGCTATGTCCATTTTCAAACATTTACCTTTGTAACTTGATCACTTTTTTTATCCATTACCAAATCTATTGCTTTTTCTTTCAATAAGAACTAATTTTCTTTCTTTATTCCATTTCCATTCCTTTATTTTCTTATCTTTTATTGACCACCTTATTTTTATCCATTGTTAGATTTGTTATCTTTTTTTCAATAAAAAGTATTTTTGTTCTATTTCTATGCCTTTCCTTGTTTATCCTTTATTGATCAAAAGAAATGGATAATTGTAAAATGATGATGAATAAATAAATGATAACTTAAAGGATCTCTACATTACTTTGAAATGATGATAAAGATGAAGGCAAAGAGAAAAAATGGAATGAAAATAAAAAGCCTATTGAGACATTGGAACTTAAGATTTTTAGCCTTTTAAAAAAGGAGATTATGAATAATAAGAATGGATTATCAGATCAATTAGAGATCATGGGCAATTATGATTGCAAAAGAGATAAAAAAAAATTTGGTGAACTTGAAGAATGAAGGTATTGTATTTATCTTGAGAACTTTTTTTACCACAATTAGAGTTACATTCATAAACATTGCTTTCATACGTTGCATTCATAAATATTGCTTTCATGCATTGTATTCATAAACATTACATTCATGTAATTTGTTTGGTAAGAAGTTATGATCTTAGATCTTGAAATGGTGAAAATGTGAAATATTTTTACTTGATGATAAGTTTTTCCAAAGATGAGATTTTAATCCTCGATGAAGGATAATTTTCAAAAATAAGATTTTGATTCCTAATGAAAAATTTTTGAAAAACAAGTGAGGTAATAATCCTAGCTTGAGGCAATATTTTACAAAAATAAGACATGTTGATAAAATTTTGATTCTCATTTGAGGATAACTTTGTGAAGATAAAGTTTGAATCCTTTGGATGGAGAAAATGATTTTAAGAATAGTTGATAAGCCTTGGTTAAAGAGCTCTTTCATTTTTAAAGTTTCTTAGCCTTTGCTTAAAGGAGGTTTTTTGTCATAAGATGAGAATCTTTGAATCTTCGATGTGAATCTCTAAGATTTTCAAATATAAATCTTTGAATCCTTGATGCAAATCTTCAAGATTTATGTAAATTTCGAGAACTTTTTGGTGAGAATTTCAAATTTTTTATTTGAATATTTGAATAAACCCTTGATCTCCTTCATATAAGAATCTGTTTTATATTTTCAAAGTTGTGGAGCCTCTGTTTAGAGGAGTATTTAAGTGTTAAAATTGGTAAGATTTCCCGAAATAGTCTTTAAGTCTTCTGGGTAGAATGTTTACATTTTCAAAAGTTATTAAGCTTTTGTTAACCTTTTATATTTTTCAAAAGTTACTGAGCCTCTATTGAGAAGAACCTTTTATATTTTCAAAAATTGTTGAATCTCTATTAAGAGAAACCTTTTATATTTTTAAAAGTTGTTGAGCCTCTATTGAGATAAGCCTTTTATATTTTTCAAAAGTTGTTAAACCTCTGTTTAGAGAAGTCTTTTATATTCTTCAAAAGTTGTTGAGGCCCTGTTAAGATTAGCCCTTTATATTTTCAAAAGTTGTTGAGCCTTTGTTTAGAGGCGCTTTTAATATTTTTCAAAGTTGCTGACCTCTATTTAAAAGAGCCTTTTATATTTTTCAAAAGTTGTTGAGTCTCTATTAAAAGAAACATTTTATATTTTCAAAAGTTATTTAGCCTTAGTTTAGAGAAGCTTTTTATATTGTTCAAAGAGTCTGAGTTTCCATTTAAAAGAGTCTTTTAAAACCAATCGAGTTGATTATCGGATATGTGGGCTGTCTACACTTTTGCACAGTTCTTGTTTCACAGAAAATGCTCAAATATAGGCAATTATAGATACCCTATCTTGTCTAAGGTTAATTTTATAAGATTTGGCTTGATTTTTGTTAAGCTCCAAAAAAAAAAAAAGTTTGATTCATTTTAAAGTCTAGTGTTTTAATTGAAAAAAGGGAATTGGTTTGAGAGGAGGATTTGGATTAAAAATCTAAAGATGAATTTGATTAAGAGATTCAAACCAAGAAAAAAATCGTTTTCCTATTGTAATTGGGATTACAAGCCTATAAAAAAACCTTATTAAGATCAATAAGACACAATTAAGCAATAGGCTGAAATAATAAAAAAAAAAGCCAAAAAAAAAGGGTCATTAGGAAAGTTAGTAGGAAAGTCAGAAAATCATAAAAAAAAAAAAGAAAGTATTATTGAGGATGGTGGGAAAAGTTGTTGTTTAGACTATAGGTTAATTAGGAATTAAGAGAGTTTAGATTTCAGGAAGAAAAATAAAAGGTTCAATTTTGGTTTTTTTTTTTTTTGAGTTTTTTTTTAAAAATCTAGGATTTTTTTGGGTTGGTTGAATTTTTCAATTAATTTTTCGATGAACTTTGAAGTTTCTAATCAATTTTTCTGTAGGGTTGAATTTATTAGCTGAAGTTCCCAGCAAGCTTGAAGTTTTTGTCACCATTTTTTGGAAATAGTCGTCGTGATCTGAGTTGGGGTTGAATATTCCGATCGACTTTCATACTTTTTAAAGAAAAGTCAGAGAATTTTGGTTGAAAAGAGAGAAAACTAAAGAGGAAAAGTGATGAAAAGAAAGATTTTAGCCTTTTATACCTTTCCTAAATGACATCATTTTAATCTTTCAAAACATCTCACCATCTACGCCTAATTCGACTGTGATTCATGCGCTTACCCATGTTAGATTCGACCCATTCACATGATTTTCCTTTTTTATTTTTCTTTGATTTTTTGTTTTGATTTTATTTTATTTAGTTTTATTGTATTTAATTTTTTTCTTTTATTTATATTTTGATTAATTTATGTTGATTAAATTATTTACTATTTATAAGATTTTAATCTATAGAATAAAATAAATGAAGCGTAAATAAAATTTCATCCAATGATAAAACTTTATCCAATGATGAAACTTTAAAAAAGTTACCAGCATGTAATTTTCTTAAAAATTTCTAAGTTAGTGGATTTTTTCTAAATTCGATCAAAGCGTTGAAAGATTTAAAAATTGATCTCAATATAAAAAATTTTATTTATTTTTAATTTGAAAAAATTAAAATTGGAAATGAATTATGATGATTTTATGATTGATTAGATTGTAATTATGATTATTGTATTTTATTGTATTGATTTGTGTATTTCATTATTGTATTTTATTGAATTGTATTAAATTGTAAATTTTACTTTGTATTTTTTTCATAAAATACTTAATAAATTCAACGATTATGCCTCTTCAAGGAAATAGTTGTGTTACTTGAATACTCTTAAAGTAAGAAATATTTGTAGGGGATCGACCAAAGCATTGAAAAAACTTAAAAATATGTCCAATATTTAAATACTAAAATTAACAAATAAATTAAATAATTAGGAATCAAAGACCATTTTAATAAAGGCTAAAAAAATAATATGAGATTAATTGGTACCATTTTAGGATAAGTATTATAGGCGTGTTATAACCTTTCCTACATATAACCGCACTCTCAAACTCAGTTCTGTTTAGAAGACTAGAATCTATTCTTTTAAGTACCCTTAGTAAGCTTGGGATAACCTTAAAAATGATAAATTCACTTAAGTGGTCAGTTACACCTAGCTAAAAAAAAATTAGTGAAGACTCCATGTTTTGTGTTTAATGGGTTAGTTCGACGACTATACACATTATGGCAAGTATATTAGTTCGTTCTCATTAGAGACTATCAACAAACAGTTAGAGATGTTTTTTATTTTTTAATCGATCCGATATGTCAGGCCGACCTTATTTATACAATGCTATGTCAACTCAGCTACGTCACTATTCTATCCCATGGACCTCTCACTTTCCACCTATAAATAGAATTATCCAAATACTATTTATCTATCTTATTTTTTCTTTTTCTTTTTATTTTTCTCTTCTTTCGACCTTTTTTATTCCAATATCTTATTTGAGTGTCCAAGTGCATATGTAAGTTATACTCTTTACCTTTACTCTTAACCACTCTAATTCTCTTTAGTTTTTCAATTTCTCACATGGACAAGAGGTTATTTGTGGCTTCTCGCAAGGGTAGCTATTTTATTCAAACTTTTTGAGGAAAATCCATTTATTCTTAAAGATAACAGCAAACATATATCTATGTTGAATTTATGGAGTTAAAGCGTACCATGCATTGTTCAACGAGGAAGGAGGACCAAGACAGCTGAACAGGTTCTAGAGGAACTGTATCACCTTCAAATTATGGTGCTTATTGTCAATAATGTTTATTGAGAATAGTGACTTAAATCTCAAAACAGATTTATTTAGAATTGATTAGATATTGCTTGATGGACAAGAAGACTTTTAAGATGAAAGAGATTCTTAATAGATAAGTTTGTATGCTTATAAATAGATGGAGTCTCTATAGGGTTAAGTAAGAGAAAAAGATGTAAAAAATTTATAGGATTTTATAGGATAGACACTCCATAAGACTACTGGAGATTTATAACTTATGGATGCGTATAGATATGAATGTTTGTGAGTGAATTAAAAAAGACTAAGATGATCTACATATGTATGATGCATGAGTGCATATAGGTATGTGTTTATTTGTGTTGAAATGATGCATATGAATATGTGTTTGTTTGAGTTAAAAATACTTCATAAGACTGGAGGAGATTAAGATAGTCTATGGGTATTAATTGTTGAGTAAGATTAATATGATTTGTATATTTGTAATTTTTTACAACTAGTGAATCTTGTTTTCATCCGTAGATATAAGTCGATTTGATTAAATCATATTAAATTATTATCTCTTATGTGATTGATTGATTTTTTTTTTTTTTTCGACTTGATTGATTGAAGGCTTTTTGCCTAATCATGTTGACCAATTGACGTTGACAACGTGCTTATGGCGCACCGCATAAACTTTCAAACAAAAGATAGGAACATGGGGCATTGACGACAAATTGATTGACTCACTGGCGTGGTAATGAAACTTCTTCAAGAAAATTAAGCAGCGTTTTGTAGCAAGGAGGCAAACAATACTTTTATCATCAACTCTACTTAACATGCTCCGTTGATGTAATGAAAAATGGTCTTCGGCATCGGCATGGGATATATATTGTCATCTATTAGTTTTGCAGTTGAATTTATCTTCTGTATTGATTGGGAGCATCAATTTGCTGAGATTTGTCACCCTAAATCTGTGAGACAGGGATTTATAGAGGCTTTTTATGTGAGTTTTGTCAAGCTCTTGTACTCTTAACACTTAAGTTTTCTAGTTCCCCAGATGGACGAGAGGCTATTTGAGGCTTCTCGTAAGGGTAACACAGATACTTTACTCAAACTTATTGAGGAAGATCCACTTATTCTTGAAGATAACAGCACACATACCTCAGTTGAGACTCCTTTGCATATAGCATCCTTGCATGGGCATACCGATTTTGTAAGGTATATTCTCAGCCAGAAGCCTGGATTTGCTAAAGTTTTAAACAGCAAAGGCTATAGTCCCCTTCACTTGGCTTGTGCAAATGGGCATGTGGATATAGTAAAAGAGTTACTGAAAATTGATGGAGAGACTGACCATGAGCTTTGCAGACGGAAGGACAAGAAGGGGAGAACTCCTATACATTTGGCAGTGATTAAAGGGAGAGACAGAGTTGTTGCTGCACTGATCTTAGCTTGTCCAGATTCCGTAAGAGAGGTCACTGATAGAGGGGAGACGATTCTGCATCTAACTGTGAAGAGTGAAAATGGATGTAAAAGGCTTAGGGGTTTACTTGAGGGGTTCGAGGATAAGGAGATGCTTAATTGGAAAGATGATGAAGGCAACACTGTTTTGCACTTGGCTGCTGCGAGGAAACAGCATGAGGTAAGATCATTGAATCCGCATGAGATTAATTCTCACAATTAGTATATCCATATCCTTACAGTCTGCAGTAATTAAGTAGCTAGATTACAGTTTTTAATGGATATGAAGTTATGTTCAATTTGCTTTATTCAGGTATTGAAATTCTTGCTGGAGCAACCTGAACTTGATGTGAACGCAGTGAATTCCAATAAGCTGAAGGCCTTGGATATTCTGGGGGAAGGTCCAAATCAATCAAATGATCAAGAAGTTGTACAGATGCTCCATCTGGCAAGCATGCCAAAACCTGATAGTCAAGCATTAACAGAACTATCTCAAGCTAATGACGCCGTGATAGATGTAGACACAAAGACGAATGACTTGACCTCTAAAAGGGATACCAAAAATTCTTTTAAGGGGCTCGTCGAAATGAGAAGAGGAATCATGGTAATGGCAGTGCTAATAGCTACTGTGACTTTCGAAGTAGCATTAAATCCTCCTGGAGGACTTTGGCAGGATTGGGGTGCTTCTGTTTCTAATGACACTCACAGACCAGGAAAATCAGTTGCAGGAGAAATCTCACCCAACAGCCTAACTTGGTTTTTGGTGTGGGACTCCATTGGATTTTTGGCATCCATGAGCATCATATTAGTGTTGACATGCCCCTCAAAGCTCAATTGGAATTCGGTTAGCTGGGAGTACATTCGTTTAATGATGTGGGTGGTGATTGCTTCCGTTCACATGGTCTTCCTCTACGGTGTTCAAATGACCACTGCCTCCAACATTTTCAAACGAGCAGTGATAGCCCCATTCGTGTTTTTCTACGGAGTTGTTGGTTTATTAGCCATGCGTTCAGGATGGTATTCAGTAACTGAGTTGGGCGATCTGGTTAAGGAGTTATGGACAAAGAAAAAGAGGTGAGATAGCTGATATTTGATTAAATAAAAAGAATGAATTACAAATCTTCAGACATTTGCAAAGGAACTTGAACGTTTATTGTATTTTCTAATCACATCAACTGCTGCTATTATAAAATGGAAACAGTTTTACCAATTCTTACTCCATAAATTAGATAATCAAACCATAACCAACATAACTTGCTTAATCTTATGTAAATGATTTGGACAGGAACAACGACATGTGATTTAACCTGCTTGAACAATTTTTTTTGTTTAATACAAAGGAGGTTGTGGCCTTAGAATAGAGTAAGGATTGCATGAGATTTGATTCTAATTTAATAAACATCACATTTTAAAAGTTGATCATATAATTTAATTGAGTTATAACTCGAATTTTACTTAACAAAGTTTTTGGGTCAAGGCTACTGCTGCGATTTTTTATAAGAGAAGCAGAAGCATCTCGTTTTCTTTATTTTCCAGGTACTAAATGTGACCAAGGATTTCATTATATTATTAATCGGCAGAGAAAAATGTATTATTGTAATAAATAACATGGGTTCTTCAAGGATGATTTCATAGATTTGGCTAGGCAGGACAAGAAAGAGGGAATCAGCTCTTACATTAATACGACAGCAGATTAAGTAATTCCAGCTCTTACGCCAGCGATTTAGACAGGCAAACAATATTAAAATGGCTGAATTTGAGAAATCGCCATGGGGCTGAACCTTATTCTATTTAGATTTTTTCTTTGATCGGTTTATGCAATTGACCCAAAAGGAAAATGACAAGATATGGGTAGTGAAATTAGTTGGTGTGTAACTTCTGATTTAACTTATAACAATTGAAATTTTATTGTTATATAAAAAGAATAAATATGCTGCCATTATATTGCAAGTTGACAATATGGAAGCTTAAATATAGTGCTTTAAATTTAGATTAAACTTTGGTTACTTATTCTATTGTTTTTCTTTTTTTAAATAAAAATGCAGTACAATAGACGATAATTCAATGACTAATACTCGATTCCATATTAAATATTATCTCTTAATAATGATTGTATAAATTAATTAAATTAAATCTAAATTTTTATTTTTGTTTCTTTTTAAATTAGGGGGTTATGTTTTAGTTCAGGAATTGAATTATTTTGTTCGGTCTATCCCCAAATTACTAGGAATCACTACAGTTAAGATTTCATATTTCCCTTGTTTGATATGGTAAGGCTAAAAAATTTACTGCATTTCAGGTAACTTATAAGCTTTTGAAATTCCATTAATTTTTTGGATATTACTTGAACAAATGAGATGGTATCATGGGCAGATTTGATTCTCAAAACCAGATTCCTTGGGTCTGGCACTAAGGAAATTTTTTTAAAAAAATTAACATGCTTAATTCGGAAAACCAGGTCGGCAAGCAGGCTCCTTTTGCTTACGTAGAAGATGAATTAAGAAGGTGGCTTTTTGGTCGCTGTTGCTTATGTAACAAAACACAATAAATGGAGTCGATAAAGATACCTGTCACTTTCTGTGTTTTTTGGACATTTGTCCATTACAGAAACATAATCCTTAAGGAAAAAAAAGAAAAAAAGAATGAGATTGATGTAAAATCAGGGAAAATAATCAAAGGAATTGTGTAGCTTTGGCTATTGAAATTATGCACGAAATGCAGCTACCTAAATTAAATTTTCTCCATCAATCAACAGGTTCAAACATCTAAATGCTGTGTTGTATTCTGAGATTGTTGAGACCTTCTTTCTCTATTTGCAAACCATTGGACGGTTCTTCTAGCAATTGGCAACCAAAGCCGCCTTATTCTTTCCTCCTTTGTGTAAGTTTCAGACAATGAAGACTCACTCATTCTGTTTCTTGTACTCACATCTCGAAACCTCGATACAGCAGTGATCTCTGACATTGATCTTTTCTCAGCTTGATTAACAACCCTTGATGTATGACTCGAAGTGGCTGCAGAATTTGATGTTGAAGGAAGACCAGGAGCTGAAACTGGGTTGTCTTTGTTAATTGAACTAACTTTTCTCTCAAACAATCTCTTTATCTCCATCTCCTCCTTGATCTTCATAATTTGCTCGTTTTCAATTGGTCTAGTTTTTGTAAACCGCACATCATCCGTTTCCAGGGAAGAAAATCTGTTGCTCGAGATATCATTAAGCATCTCGGAGTTCAAGAACATCAGGTCTGAAGAACTCACACTGCTCCATCGGTTTTTCAAAACTACATCAGATACAATGATCTTGTGATTAAACTTATGGAAGGCCCTCCCATCACCATCCTTGTCACAATCTTCTTCTTGAATTAGAACTTCATTTTCGATATCGCCCTTTTCAGTTTTCCTGAAACTGCTTCCAATGCTGAATCTTGATGAGCCATTCTCTTGCTCTCTCTGGACATACAGCTCTATGTCAGAGTCCTCTCTTAGCTCAGATTGATTCAGTAAGAACCGCATACTATTTGAGTATGTAAAGATTGTTTGGTCCTTAGCGTTGACCTTCTGCCTGCAAAGAGGGCAGCTGGAATGCTTTTCTAGCCACTGATCAATACAATTAATGTGAAAGGCATGTTTGCAGTTAGGCAGCAACCTTAGAATTTCAATATCTTCAAATTTTGATAGGCAAACCGCACATTCAAGCCCTTGTTTTGATCCTTTAAGGGAAGAGAATTTAAAGAAAGGAAGCGATTCTATAACTTTCTTGTCAATCCCGGAGAGCTGAGACCTCGTCCGATGGAGTATTCTAGGAGGATGATTACCATGAACGGTTGCTCCCCTGTGACAGCATTTGGCATAGACAAGCAGGAAAAATGTTAAGGTAAACATGACACAGAGAATACCTATGACAACCGCAAGACTCGGTCGGAAATTTGAGACAGCATCTCCTGTAGCTGGATTATTCACGCTAGAGGGGGACTGTGCATCGACATGGAAAAGCAGGAATAGAAGAACTAAACTAATCACCCTTAATCGAATCATCGGAATTTTATTGCTTTCCTGCTTTTATTTCAGCTGGAAAATGGTATTTTTTTCCGAACAGAACTCTTAATAGTCCATGTGGGGGTAGTTTGATGTGGGTTTGTTATGCATGGTCCTGACAACCATGTTACTCCCCTTAAAAAGGAATCCTTTCAGTTTGTCTGTTTCCTTACTTTCTGTTTAGGCTGTGGTTTGCAGCATATTTTTATATTTCAATGCAGGTTTTTAAATGTGAAAATTCAGAAGTGATATCATGGTGGAGAGGCCTTTGATTGAATACAAAATTTGGCATTTGACCTGCTGGGGTTGTTTTATTGGATGGCAAAAACCTTGCAAGAAAACAACTGATATCATCCATGACAAGATATTTAACAAGTTTTTTTGTACATTCTGATGCCACCTATCAAATTATCAATTAAAAAAATCCATGTGAAACTTGAAATAGACATTTTCAGTAACAAGCTTTCCAATTGGAGAGATATATCCCATTCAGGATGAGATTAAGGCCGGCCATTTGTGTTAAATTCCTGTTCGTTTTTTGATCTTCTAAAATTTTCATAAGATAAAAGGCTTGGTATCCAATGCAAAATTTGAAGGAAGCAAATGATTATTATTCCAACTCAATTGGGAAAGCAAGCTGTGGGGAATAAACAGAGACACAAGAAACCCGGCAGTCCTTTCTGAGAAAGCATATGGAGACAAAATTCAATGGGGGAAACCCAGAGTTAACTCATACTATACACAAGCATTACAGGTAATGAAATATAGGGTTATTGTTAATGAGGCTGTGATGTTTACCGGAGTCATGATATGAGAAAAGGAAACTTCAAGAATTCCATTCACTTCTCCAATTCCCTAACTTTCTGATTCTCTTTTTGCTTAAAAGCACCGAGTGATGATGGGTATATCACAACCATTTAGCTTTGAAGAATCAGACAACGTCTGTCAATCTGAAAAAATAGAGTTCTATGAAACAGTATATGCTGTCATGCTAAGGTAAAGTAACAGTCATAAAATCCTGCTTCACTGAGAAGGTAAAAGTAACAGTTTTATAAATCTTGTCTCATTGTAAGCAATGTAGGTAGTAGACTCGTTACATCTGACAATTTATATATTAATATTTGTTTATTTTATATTTAATATATGTAAAATATAAAAATTATTATAATTCATGTGGATACATCAAATACAAAACATATTTTTTTAAAATTCATAAATAATTTTTATTAAAATTTTAAATTATATTATTATTATATCCTCTATTATTATGTTTTTAAAATTATCAGATCCACCTTCAACCTTCCGGTTGTATGCCATTGAACTGTCATAAACAGACCGTACTATAAACTTGGCTCAATGTGAAAACATTCTAATGCATTAAATTTCCATAACTGCCTGTTCACTACAAGCAGATTGATCAAGTCTGAAAGGATAAGATGCAGTTGATCGATGATGAATCTAAGCAGATTATAGCCCTACCAAACCCTTTCAATAACCTTTCCAAAATTAAAACCATGATCTACTCATCCTGCCAACATTAACATTAGCTACTACGACATACAAGATAGTTTAACTTAGTAAATTAATTTGAAATAATCCCCGACAGCTTACGTGCATTGCAATCGAATTATCATAAAAACGTAAAACATTCATATATACTAAAGTGGGTGAGAAATCTCCTTATCTGCTATAAGAGCATGTCAGAATCTGAAGCTTACACTGCTGACAAATAACTACAACAAAAAAGAAAATGATTTTCTCGAAGAACTGCTACTACAAAAGTAAAATGCTTAACATAACTATTTGACAAAGAAATGGTGCTAGAAATTATTACATACAATTGCACTATTTAACTACTGCAGCTAATACAACCGGCAAGGAAACAAATAACTAAACTCAGTGAGAAAAGCAAGGACTCTCACTAGTGTATTCAAGGCCATAGCAGTCATACTTGATTGCATGTCAATGTATTTCATGGCACGGAAGAACAATTTTAAGCCTCAGCTCTGAGCAGAGGCAGCAGGATTGGTACTTGGAAATGTTGACAAACCATTGTTATTCTCTGGATTAGCGCACTCTTCACTGGCATGCCTAACAAACTCTTCAGGGGACATATGGGTACCATGACAAGCACAAACAATCTTGATCTGATTTGCACTGAATCTGTAAGTAACACCAGAAATTGTTCTACCCTGTGGGTCAGTACCTGTGGTTGAAACCCATGGTAAATTTGGATAAGAACCAGATCCCCCAAATTTCAGGTCTGCAGCAATACCAGGCTTTATGGCTGAAATATCAAGAGATAAGCCTTCTGTTGGTTGATCAGATGCAGCATTTGCTCTGAGATTCATGCTGCTTCCTTTTACATCTTCCTCTGACTGAGTAGAGGAGCCTTCCTCTGTAGCATGCTGTTTACCCTCGCCTTTGACTCGTTCGAATGTCCTGCCTTCATATTGTGCAGCCTCAGAGGAATTGCACACAATTGTATGCATGGAAGCTACATTCAGCAAAGGGAAAATTCATTCACAATTATTAGCCTTGACGATAACACATGGAGGTAAAAGAGTATTCCAAATTAACAAGCGATCAACTGATTATTAATATTAGAAAAAAATATCATACTTTTAGAATCTGAAAACCACTGGCAGCACAAATCTAAAATGTTAAATACTAGAATCCAATGCTGAAATAAGTATCATATAAAATTCCTACATAGTTCTATGTACTAGGTTATACCAAAACAGACTGACAATAGCTCAATTTCATTTCACTTCAAGAATAGTCAATTACACTTATTAGTCTTGCTTTCTTGCCTGGGCAAGAGAGTTCCAGAATGCACAAAGTATATATCATTCTTTTAATATATCATATGTCAACATCAGGATAGCTCAGAGCTCTCTGTGAAATGTGAAGAAACAGATCACTAGGCAAATTTTACAAATCATATACATCCATTAAACCCATTACATTGCTGCCTTCCTTTTCCTTTCTTCATGCAAAGGGAGAAAGAGATACCTTGTGATATTTTCAATCCATCACTGTGCTTATCTGGATTAGGTGGAGCTCTGCTAGCATAGGAAGGGTGGAACTGTGGAGGGTGAGAGACCATCCCCCAGGAATTATCCTTATCCAACAGAGGAAGTTGGACAGGTGAGTAACCAAACATAAAAGGCAAGTTTCCAGGATTCGCAGTCTGAGTCCCAGACTGCTCATTATTTCCAGTAGGCATAACCTTTATCATGCCAGGTAGTGTATGACCTGATGAACTGGGGGTTCCAACAGAGTTAGAATCCTTCATGGGTAATAAGAAAGGTACATTCATGGCATTAGCTGATTGAACCGGGAATGGGTTGCCATAATTCAAAATTCCAAGCTTAACCTCCTTAGGCACCTCAGAAGAACCACTAACTCCAATAAATCTCTTGGACCCATCATCATGGTGTGAAACCATCCTCAAGGTTGAGCCCTCAACTTCAGACTCTGCCACGTCCTCATTCTCTGCAGTGGAGCCATCTTCCGTTGTTGGGGAGATATGTGATGTTTTGGAATTTTCATGTAAATCAGTATAATGAGCTTCTCTTTCAAGCTTCTTTGGATTGTTTATCTCATCAAACAACATCTTACGTTTACTAACTGCTTCAGACCACTTCTCTTCATCTATTTCAGCAGACCTGTTATTTTTTGTACCCAAGAAACCTCTGCCATTCAAGTTCACAGAAGCTTCTGCATCACCAGCAGCCTTGGAAAGATCGGTAAAGAAGTTTTCTGAAGGTTTCACTGGATCAATTCTCTGAGAACCCACATTGGGGTCCTGTTTCTGGGTTCCAGCTTGAAGAAAGTTTTTAAAGTCATCCCCTATTTTGATGCCTCTATTGCCTTCTTCTGTCCTATTATCTGAAGAACTACCAATTTTGCTTTTGGATGTGGCAGATGATGTACCACAAGATAGCCCCAAGCTAAGCTCAAGCCCATTGTCATCCTCCATTTTATAGAATCACAGTATATTACTGTGGTTCAAGTATAACCTCTGCTAATCCTCTCTACGGACCATCCATCATAAAATACGTAATACAGCCTCAACACATAGTATAACCATCTTAAAGTTACATGCCTGCACAAAAGTCTGATTTGTCAGGGGAAATACAAGAGGGAAAAAACTTAGTTCCAAACAATATTACCATATAAAAATATTTAAAATGAAACAAGAATTATTACTCTTGGTGATGGCCTCAAAAAAGAGGAACTTTAGGCTCAATCTGATTCGATCTACCATGTTAGAAAAAAATGGTTAAAGGAAATCGATTGAGAAATACAAAAAAAAAAAAAAAGAACATTATGGAAGCCAATGCCTACCAAATGGAACCTGTGATCAACTAATAAAATCATGGCATAAATTTACAAAATTCTAACTACTCTACACTAGGAAAACACTTGAAGAAAGCCATAAAAAAGAGTAATACTCAGAAATTAAAATAGGTAACTACATAAAACAACTCATGGAACTATTACTCCAAAAACATCCATATGATCCAAGAGCAACGCCAAGGCTACTCTTATTCACAAAGTAAAGCTAAAAAAATAAATAAATTTCAAAAAATCAAATTATCCACAAACCCAAAAATAAAATTCTCTATGATAATAGTCTGAAGCAGGCGCAAAACTTAACTACGCAAAAAGGTTTCATTTTTTTCCTTCTCTTTTTCATTTTTTCAGAAGAGCATGGGACCTAGAATCTGTATTTATTAATTTTCTATATTCATGTATCAGCAAAAAAAGTTCATCAGATCCATTCATTAGCAAAATCAATATCCCAGAAAATCAAACCCAGAAACAGTTTGAACAAAAATTCATAATTAGATCCAAACAAAACCAGAAACCCATATTCAAAAATCAACAAACTTCATCAACACCCCACCCCCCAAGAGATTCAATTAAAAAACAGAAACTTGGAAAAAAAAAACTGCAGAAAGCACAAAAGTTTAGAACTACATGAAAAAACAGTAAGCACAGAGAGAGAAAGAGAGAGTTACCTGAATAAAGACAGAGAAGATCAAAAGAACCAAAGCCAAGGTTGTCTTTGCACATCACATGCACAGGTAAAGAGAAACTGAAATATGGGAGGAAAGGTTATAAATTACCTACTGCCTACTAGTATTTCATTTTCTTTTAAATTTTTTTTATACCATGTGATTATCATGTATATATATATATATATATATATATATATATGTATTGGTTTGCCGCAATCACAACATACATATTTTTTTCTTTTATTTTATTACCAGCCCATGTCCAAAATCTTTAATAATTTTCAATTTTGACCCATCTTTATTTTGTTTTTACTTTTGTCCGCCTATTCATGTCTAGAAATGTTTGATTTACTTTATTGTTGGTAAGACGCACTGGACTGACTGGAGCATTGTTGATTGTTTAACTAATTAAATCCAAATCTTAGATTATCTAAATAATATTAGTTGTTATTATAACTAAATTATATACAAATCCTAGATGTGAATAAGGACTTGCTCTCATTTTTTGTCATCTTTTGCCGGATAGTTTCAGTCCATGCATTTTTTTTAATGCAAATGAAGCAATATACGAGGAAAGGTGGAGATTTAACCTATGTCCATTGGTTCTGACGTGTCTTGACAAAGATTTATACAGAATTTATGAGCTAATAACTCCAAACAGCATTGAATTGAGTGCCAAAATCAAAGCCTTGGTTCTCAGCAACCAAGCAGAGATTGACAACTGCCTTCTTCTTCTTTTGACTTCTAAAAGGGAGTAAAACTACTAAGCTGAGTATTGATTATAAAGAAAGAAGCATGCAAAATCTGATTTAGTAACTAGATCAGAATCAGAGATTCTTGTGACGGAGATGCCTATTCTTATCTGGACGCAGGAAACAGAACATATGAGCAACATGTTTTTCAGATTTGCACTAACCAAGAGATAATCGTGTGTCACGAATGATTGTATGTTAACCATAAGAGTTACAGCTGCTTTAAATGTGCTTATGAATTATGATCTGGTTAAAATTTTGGATTCTTGACGGAATAAGATATGAGAGTTGAGCCTATCTTATTAGTTATTAATGTTGTTGCTGCAGATTGATAGAACAAAAGGGTCGGCCAGTGAGGGAAATTTATCATAAACAAACAACTAACAATCATCAAATTAAAATAGTTAGTTTTATTTATATATAGAAGTTCCAGGGGTATTGTTCCCCGTTTACCATCATATTTGGCACAAAAAAAAAAAAAAAACCATCACATTACAATTAATTTTTTTTTCTGCCTTTGGAGAAGAAGTGCTCTCTAAAGGCGTTGGTTGGCTCCATGTGACTGTCATCTTTATATTCGTCTTAGCTTATGGAAGGTCTTAGGGTCCTCTGGGTTGGCTGGCTAGTTCCTAGCGAGCTCTATTGTAAAAAAAATTTTTTTTTTTTAAAAGTAACTTTGTATGAGATTTACAGCCTCTCCGCATGTGCTATTAAGGAGTTAATTCATAACATAAAGGGAGATCATCGTATGACAATTTCACAAAAACGCATCTGTTGGCCCCTGCGAAGGGTGCGGCAAAATCCTGGAGAAAGATGAACCCAATGCTTTGAACAAAATTGGGTGGTATGTAAGCAGGGGAAGATCTCATGCTATAGAATATGCGAAGTACATCTTTGAAAGTGCCAATATAGATTAAGCTAACAGCTTAGCAAGTTCATCAACTCTCAGGCTTCCTTGTGGTACTACATCCAGATGATGTTCATCTATATCTTTGATTATTTGAGTTTTAGAAGCTTGCTTCTCATTTCCTCTCTTATAGGGAACTGCTGTGACTTCTTTCACTTCCAAATCCCCAGGTTCTTTCTTTTCAATCTTTTGGATTGCCCCTTACGCGGCTGACGCCTAATTGGACCAGGCGGGACAGACTGTGCAAAGCCAGCAGCCCTTTCATATATTCTGTCAGCATCCAAAGTAGCATCATCTAATACAACTGCACTCCTACTCTCAACGGCTTGCTTCATGAGATGCAAAACCCTCTTAGTGCAAGGTGCACTCACTCTTGTTGGCCCATGAATATCTTGAGAAGCTTCAGCAACATATTCCAGCTTGTCATGCTTCAGCGAATCCATAACAGAAGACTCTGGATGATTTACACTACTCTCAGGGCTTCTTGGCATGACAACATTTTCCAATGGCATAGCTACTGGCTGTTCATTTGCCATGCCAGAAATATTCAATATTGGCTCAAGACCATAGGTATTACATACATATGGCATAGCTACTGGCTCTGGCACTTCCAGAGGCATTCCCTTTGCTTTCTGACTCATCAATGGCATAATCCATCCGATCTAATGTTGTTTTATTGGCCTACATTGTAGCTGACTTTGCATCAAGAGCTGTATTTTTCCTGTCATTTTCAGCAGATGACTCCCTTTGCTAAATGCTGATATCATGAGAACTTATGAGTGGTGGTTCTGTGCAAGCTGCCTGAACACATGATGGTGATACTTCTTGGCCTTCCAACTGTCCAGTGGTGGTAGTTGCACTGACTGCATTACTTTTCTCTATGCCTGAGTTAAATGCTGGTTTTAGGAAGGACGACTCTCAATTTTGTCCTCTCCACATTAGTATGTGTTCATCTTCAAATGAGATTAGCACGCATGGGACCAACTCCTGCAAATGAAGAATTAAGGAAATTGAAGTTCCCTTTTTTTTTTTTTTGCTATCAAGAAATTGAACTTAATGTGCTCTAAATATAAAAAGTTATCAATTATATGTGGAAGAGTTACAATAAAAGATACAAATTATATAAATATACTGAAACTTAAGTTTGGCACCAATTCTCCAATAGTCACTTCCCTTAATTCCTTGACAATTAATCCGAACAAGTTCACATTTTTTACAAGGTCAGCATACACGCCACTCTTTGCTCCAAAATATCCAAAACATTAATATTAGATTTCCAGAATGGGCAAAATTGAAGCATTCCTTCTATAATTTCCCTTTCCAGTGTCACCCGCAGCTTACCAAGTTTGCATATTGGCATTAATTTCCTTCCCTCCTTTCTCATCTCAGTCGCCTCTTCTATCGTTAGATCCTCAGGAACATGCTGAATCAACCGTTGATGCACAGGGGTAACAGGTTTCCACAGCATAAGAGGGAAGCGAGGACGAGTTTTATAATTATAATTTCTAGCTCTGAAAAGGAATAGCACCCTTCCTCTTCTAAAAATAACCTTCCCTCCTATTCTTTCCTGCCAAATCATACATAGATTGAAAAACAATGCGCAAATCAAACAATTCTATGGACCATGATTTCAATATCCTCTCATAAATCAAACAATAACACGACTTTTATATAAACCAATGTTTAAACATGCAAAAACAGAAATACAAACCTCACACATTGTCCATATCAACCGTACGAACTCCCTTTCATTTTGTCTTAGAAACTCTTCGCCTTTTCCAATAAGCATGTATATTATCTAACACGTTGTGTGTCAAACCATCCCTACCTAAACATAAAAGCAAAAATTAAAAAAAAAAAAAAAGGCAATGAAGAATAATTCAGATTAAATTGCACAACCAATTACTCTATTATTTTCTACAGAATAAATTACTATCCTATAAGGTGACGATACAAACTTCATAATTAAGTTTATATGCTTGTCATTAGACCTGAAAAATTTAGATATAACCTGATAATACCATATGAAAATATATATTAAAGATAAATGAATATGGGTTTTGCAAAAATAAAAAAATATATATATTTTGTTTGATGTGTTAACATAAATTATGATAATGGGACAATTGTCGTGTTTTAAGTCGTGTTTGATATGAAACATGAATACAAGAATTGTCATCCCTGAAACATAATTTACTTAAATATAAACATGGTAAGTACATATAAATTCGTTCATGAAAATTAATAAATGAAAAAAAGGAAATCAAATAAAAAGTAAATAATCAGATTATTACCCATATTCAACTGTCGCTGTGACTTCAAGGAACCTTAACTAACTCCTTAGCCTCCTCTGCATTCAACGGCTCTCCCAAAATCTCCTCCCTGGACTGGACATACCTTGGGCCTGTCCAGGCTAATATGGGCCGGTCTTCTGTATGGGTTTGACAACTTTTCTTATTAGGTGGAGGCAATACGATAAAATCGAACTCCTTCATCTTTTTCTAACTGGGCTACAACGGAGCCCGGCCCGTCTCTGGCCTAGGCATGGTCGTTGGCCCAAACGGCGAGTACGGCGGTTCCCTTAGCTTCATCGGTTTCACTTTTGGCGTCTCCGTGCAACTGTACTTGAACTCCAATGGCGCACCGTCGATGACAAAGGAGATGCCGTCTTCGCCAGTGGCGACATTCCCGGGTTTCTTATCGAGTGGAGTGGTTGGCGGACAGTTTGCAGTTTTGGATACTTTGAGAAACGCTGGGTGGTTTGGGGTTTTGGAGTACTTGGATTTCTTGCCTAGAATTGAACGTCTGGATGTAGAGGAAAGGGAGCCAAAGGATTTGTAGGTTTCTAGTTGCGTTGGTGGTATGGCGGAGGAGGGTTCAATGGTGGTGGCAATTTTAGTGGCGGAATCGAAGTGGCTGTAGAGTCGAATGTCGTCTTCGATTTCTTGTTGGGCGCGTCGGCGGTGTTCCAGCTGCAGAATCGGATCTCCATGGGAGGACGATGGGCGGGTTTGTTCGGGTTAGGATAAGGATTTGGTTTTGGTAACGGTGGCTCGGAAATTGGGAATGTGATGGGCAATTTGGATATTTATGACTTGGAGCAGAGCAAAATATGGTGGAAAAACCAACCAGATAACTTTACCGTCTACTGCTCCATTCAAATCAATCCCATGACTTTCATCATTCGGTTGTTAATATTCCCAATATATATAAAGTCATACACTTTGTTTCTTTAAAAAAAAAGAAAAAAAAAACAGAAAAGAAATTCTTACACTAACTTTTGCAGTGCTCTTCGCTTGAATATTTTTATCTTGTTTTCTTTCTTTTGGTCCTTTCTAAATTTGGACTTTGATTTCATTCTTAAACAAGTTTTCTGTTTCTGGGCTTCGGTTTTTGCAGTACTGAGCCACTCTTCTTCAATATTGGACATCAATTTTGTGAGTTATTTCTGTGTTTGAAACTTTGAATCAATCTAGTCGGTTTGCTGTGTACAGATTTTGAAGTTGTTTATCTGTTTAATGTTATTTTTCCTGTCCCTTTTGATGGTAACTAAGAAAATATGAGTGCTTGTAGCTAAATGTGGCATTCATTTGTCTTAAATTTCCAATAAATCTCTGACTAATCTTGGAAGCATTCGACATTAAAGTTACCTCAACTCAGACAAGGATCCTAATTCAGTTTTATAGTCTATTTCATCAGTTCTCGTCCTCATTACTGACCCCAAAAGGAAACTGTCTAGTTCCTCGTGCAAACGTATTGAGCATTGGTTCTGTCAGAATTGAGGAGAAAACATGAATGCTAATCTCTTGGAGGGCAACCAGATGGATGTCATTACTCATTAGTATAATGCCATTCTTTCCCTAATTTTAATATTTTTTCTTGGATGCTAGAGTAAGTCTGTTTTCAATGTTTTAATAGTTTCCTAAAAGATCCTTCTTGTGTTCTTATATGAGGTCCATTTTATTCGATGGATAAGGTTGATTGGGAGTTTAGGCTATTTCAGAGCTGGAAGATCTAATGGGAGATTTACATATCAATGGAGGATTTACTGAAACCCCCTTATCTGTAAGTACTGATTAAGAACATTTTTTACCGTTTCCTCAAAGAAAAAACATTCTGACTGAATTATGGCTTTAGGTACATCATTATGTTTTCTTCCATTACATATTTAACCATTAATTTGATTAGAAGCTTCAGTTTTTTTGGTCTAATGTAATTCCCTTTATCAGGTCCATCAAGGTGTTGTGAGTAATATATGTCATCCTCCGGACTTTCTTGTGTTTCCCTTATCAATGGATGACATTTTCACTAGTTTTTCAACTTGGACCGCTTATATAAGTTGCAGATTCATCAATTTTATAGGTGAGTTCTTCATTTTCAGTTGCAAGCACTGTGCTCCTGTGGACAGTATGTAGAGCCAGCTTTTGTGGCTCAGAGAAGTTCCATTGTTACCTGCATTTTCACAACATAACAGATATATTTAGACGTTAAGATGTTTCTGCAGAGAATCTTGTTCTCCAAGAGGTCTACAGATTATCAGATGATTCAGTCGCCATTACTTCTGGACAGAATCCAAGATCTTTGAGCCAGATCCTTTATAAATCTTTTCAGGAAGGATTTTCATCATCTCCTACATCTTGCACAGAAAATTCAAACTCTGGAATCTGTGGAAGAAGATCATCAGAACTGAGGGAAGAATGTCTTGCAAATACAGACTCTGGAATTCTAAAAATCAATCACGGGAAGCTAGGAGTCCCTTTCATCTTTCAAGGGTATTAATTTTCTTTCCTTTGGCTTATTCATGACACCGACCTATAAAATTCACCAATTTGTGTAAAATAAAGTTATGTTCATCCATTCTACTTTCTGATTATGTAATTCTTAAATAGGATTTCTTTGATGCGTAAGTCTAACCTGAATGATAGTATGAGATATGGGACCAAACTTGAAGATACACAGGAGGGTACTATTGTGCTGAATGAATATTTGAATACCATGATTGATTCTTCCACAATCCCTTCACACTTTTTGTTTGAGTATGCTAATTCCCATTACTTCAATGGCAGTTTAGATATGCTGTGGTAATGTTGTTTGTTGATGCACACCAAGTTACCCTGAATGTATGCTGCAGGGTCTGCTAATATAGCTGCAATGATACTGTTTATAGTTATGAATTTGTATTGGATTTTTATTTATTCGTCTACCCTACTTGCAGTTGCTTCTACTGCTTGTAGGTTGTTGTTCCCATTATTTGGTTTGCAGCTTGCTTGGTCACTGGCCACATGGAGATGTGCTTTCTACTATCTGAGATACACTCAAGCACGTCTATGGGTAAAATAAGTTGGTTTTTTAACTTAGTAAAATGGTGGATCATGTTCCTAAAATAGAGTCGATGGGTGTTGCCTGTCAATTTCTTTTTCAAGGGTTATCAATGTTCTTTTTTAGTATTAATTGAATTTTTATTCCAATATCCACAAACAAGCTTAATGATACAAGAGAAGAAAACTTCCAAATAAATTAGAAATTGTTTTGGCTTATATCTCAATTCCTACTCAATACTCTATTTATGGGCTTATCGGTAACTTTTGTGAGGAAACAAATTCTAGCTCTAACATCAGAGACAACTTGTTGGAATATAGCTTCAGGAGACTTCATCTTGCTGGAATGTTACATTGAGTTTCTCTCCCTCTAGATACAATAAACTGAACCAGACTGGGCGAGTTTGGAATGAATTAACTCTCAAAGTAGAGACAGCCCAATTCAAAACATCAGACCAGCTAATAGCTACACTTTAAATGGCAAAAGTTTGAAGAACCAACTGCCAAACTTGTTTAGAGTAGCTACAAGAAAAAACCTAGTGGTCCCTGTACTCCTCTTCTTCATTGCACCGGAAACACATTGTGGAATGTATGGCACCAGGACTAAATCCGAGGGAGAGTACTTAATTTGTCTAAGATTGCCAATCAAGCAATAATAGATACCTTAGGTACATAAAGTTAATACCACTCTAATTTATGCCAAGGAATTTTGGTTTGGACTCTCCTTAACCAATGCCAGGTGTCAGCAGTAGAAACCTTTCCATATTTTGGAATGGTCCAAACTACTCTTCCTGTAAAACCACTGGCAGTAAAAGTCATCAGACTTTAGCTATATCACTTAGCTATAGAATAGAATCTTCCTCCAACTCCAGCTGCAATGTTTTGGAACTTTAATTTGCCAGAAACTGTCTTGCCTTTGTATTTTGAAGCTCTTATTCTCCCAAATTGCTAGGCTTGCTTCTTCATAACATGAGTAGCCAATTTGTGATCTTCAGAATTAAAACCCGGATACAGAAAACGTTGTGTGGTTCATCTGATGATATTGGATGGTTGCAACACACTCCTGGAATGGCTCCTGTAGAGAATGGTACAGCAAGATTCTTGGAATTGCTTGAAGCCATAAGGTGCCAAATTAATTTAATTTTGTTTTGCTCTTTCTAATTAATCAGAGGTTATTTGGTGCTGGTTGATTTGGAATTTTCACATTCAGGAATGGAGAAACATTTTGCCCAATTCATTTGTATATCTATTAGTTCCAGGTATGAGATTATCATGGCTATCTAGTTTTGTTCCTCATTCATCAATTGGCATTCACTATAGCTTTCCCTTATAATGTAGATTTCTAATTTTTTGTCAGGCCTTTTTAGCAATCATGGTCCTTTATATTTTGTGGCCACTAAGAGATTCTTTTCAAAAATGGGTTTAGCATGCCATATAGCAAAAATCCACAGCGAGGTAATTAAGAGTTGCTTAGTAAATTATCTAAGACCTTACAGATCTACTGGGGCATAAGAAACTCTGATTCTCCTGTTATTGTATGGTTAAGAAGTTTGGCATGCCATTTTCTTTTTTCTTTTCAGTTCATATTGTATTTCTTCACATTCTCCTCCACCTTCAAATATCATGTTTTTACTCAAGCTTTTATTACTTATTAAACAAAGGCATCAGTGGAGCTCAATGCATGGAAGCTGAAGCAATACATTGAGGAGCTGTACTGGTGATTTGGCAAACGTGTAATGCTGCTTGGGCACAGCAAAGGTGGAGTTGATTTTGCTGCATCATTATTCATTTATTGGTCTGAACTAGAAGATAAAGTTGCAGGACTGGCACTAGTCCACTGCCCATATGGTGGCACCCCCACAGCTTCTGATATTCTTCATGAAGGCTGGATAGCTGACAAAGAAACTCGAAGGATCATGGAGCTTTTGATATGCAAGATGATTAAGGTACTTTGTACTTCCCTCTGCCAACAAATAAATCGCCAAGGCAGTCCTTACTAAATAGATATGAAGAGTTATTAAAGAAAGATACGCATGGTCTTATATGATTCTAGAAACAAATGCATCGATTCTTAAAGGCATCCATTTTAAAATTGATAGAATGAAATTCAAACTTCATAGTCAAGTTTATCTGAGGTTTTGGTATCATGTTTTGTACCATGCTATTATTTTATTTACTAAAAGGCTTATGTGTATGCATTTATTCACGTCCAAATCTATTTGTCATTTTTATAAATGTTAATCAGATGTAGAGATTTTCATCTGATCTCAAGGTTGATATTCTTTCAAAGTGCACAGCAAATGTCGGTGTGGACATATTCAAATATATATCTTGCAGGGTGATATATGCGCAATGGAAGATCTCACATACGAAAAGAGAAAAGAATTCATCATGAAGCATAAGCTACCTGAGGGCCTCCCTGTTATCTCTTTCCACTCGGAAGCAAGGGTGGCTCCTGGTGTGCTTGCTACAATGACACACATAGCTCATGCAGAGCTTCCTTGGCTTCCCCTTCCTAAGTTTTGATGTGAGGAGTTTGACAATGTTGGCAGACTTGGACACCAAGTACCCATAGTAATTCCAATTTCTGCTGCCATGGCTGTATGTGCACTTCACCTGCTGCTCAGATATGGGGAGAAGAGTGATGCATTAGTGACATGCTGTGATACTGAAGTTCCAGGTTCCATTATGGTCAGACCAGACCAGAAGCTTGACCATGCTTGGATGGTTTACTCTTCATGGAAGAAGAATCCTAATCAGCCTGAAGCTTGTGAAATGTGTGAGGCTCTTTTGACTCTACTGGTAGAGCTGGGAAAGAGGAAGCAAGAAGATCCCGAGAAGTTTGAAAGTAGTCCATAATATATAACAAAGTTTTTCCTTTTACTGAACTTTACTAATTCTTTTGCTCTGCACGTCCAAATGTTATGGGAACGACAGAGGCAATTCCAATGGCTGAAACCAAGCTTCATTTATTTTAAGAGCTCAAGTATATATTAATGGTATTTTTTCAATGAGTTTCCTCATAAGTGGGAAAAATTGTATGTGGGAAGGATTACTTTATCATCTTTTACTGCATATATATTTCTGCGCAAAAGAATTTACGGTAACAAATTTACTTTGGTGTAGAATGATATTGGATGAGATCAAAATTACTAGAATGCACAGCTGAGTCCTCACATTTCCAAAGTAACAATATGATAAAAAACCATGCAGTAGCTCATCCACCATATCTACCAATTCTACCTGTCTGCTTTATTACAACCATTTGCAGGAGCATAAGCCTCATAAATTCCATCCCAGTTCAACATGCCCTAGTCCTGTTCTATAATATGGCCGACCCAATAGGATGTAGTATCCATAGCTTGCCTCCATGGTAGAGATCTCAAGTTTGAGTAATATGCTAGCATTGCTGATATGCTAGCTGTTAATTATCCTAGATTACTATCTAGTCCTTTCTTTGTTTTTTGCCTTTGGCCTTTGGCCTCCTTAAGGAATCTGAAGATTAATGTTGGTAAAGCCAGACGCCTGGCAGCTGGCACTTCTACTAATTCCATATAGGTTATGGCTGTACGTGGTGCTGATGATTCCAGGTTCAGTTGCAGTCAGACCATAGGAATCTTGAGTCCTTCACCATGCATGCCAGCTAACGGTTTAGTCTTCATGTTCCTGACTACTGTAATTAAAATGCTACTCTGCTAGTATTAACTACCAAGTAAGAGAAACTGGTAAATACTCCATTACACACAAGTCTAAGTTTTCCTCTTTGCTCTTGGTCAACTTCTATAATGGCAAAAACATAAGTTTCACAGTTGCAATTCTTGCATATTTTTCATTTGAAGCACATAACTTGTGTTGATGCCTATCACTAATGTTGGTATCTTGGCCAATAATTTTACTACTTTAGAGGTGGAATAAAGTTGTAGGTAGGAGGGTCGATTAATTTCTTACTTTTTACCCCATAAATTTCTTCACACAGAAGTTATAATAACGTATCAGAACTACTCTCAACATAAATGACAGCAGTTAAAAACAAATTTACTTGAAGAATCCACGGCATTCACATATCTGGACTACCAATTCGATGAAAACCTGCATATATCTCATCCACCATTTCCAGCAAAGCTACCTGTCCCACTTCCTACTACAATTATGTGGTTACTGAATCAGCAGCAAAAGCCTTTTTAACCTTTGTCATTGCCCATCTGCGCTCTTCCAATTCACAAAGTACTACTATTTTTTCCTTTGGTACACACAATGTACAAATTGGAGAGAGAAGATTCAAACCTTAAGTGAAAAAATAATTTTCATTAAGTAAAAACCATTAGGTAAGTGTCCATCATTCATCGAGTATTAGTACTGCCTCCTGTCCTGAAGCTCATTGAGTGGGATCATGGGCCCTGATGGACTGGTTATGATTGCAATACTGGGCTTAAGTAAATGCGCTACCAGGCAAACAAAACAGAATCGAATTGTTTCTGATGCCAAACATCAAACAAAAGGGGGTACAAATTACCATGAAGGAAAAAGTACTGGATATAAGTATTCATGATGTTTCCATCATGGAGATGGTGCTGCTGATGCATAAACATAGCAAGAAAATAAAACTTCCCCAATAAAGCCTGATGCTGCTGTTGGTGCATACAAATATCCAATTGACGATGGTCCTTTACAAAAATAATTAATTATTACAAATTTAAATATTTTTTAGAAGGGTAAATGAGAAAATTGGAAAAAAGGGATTTAGTTGTGCATTCATCCTCTCACAGAATCAAAATTTGAAGGCAAATTAAAGTTAGCTATAGTTTTTTTACCCTAGATTTATGGTTTTTATGAGTAGATGATAAATGGGATTTTATTTTTTTAGCCTATTATAGAATGATTAAGTATTAATTTTAATAAAACTAGAAACAATGATTTTATTTTTTTTATTTATGAAAAACGAGAAATTATGAGGAGAGATTGCTGGTTCTTTGATTTATTGATAGAGTGTTAAAATTTTAATTTTAATGATTGAAAATCATATTTTAAATTCTATCAATTTTAAATACGTAAACGATACATCAATATTTATAAATTATTTGAGTTCGATTCAGATAAAATTCAAATTCAATTAGGTTATTATTGAGTTTAACTCAAATAACCTAGCCTATTAAATAAATCAAATTCAAGTATTCTAATACTCTGTTCAAATAACTTACTAACATAATCAAGTTTTTATATTTTAATATTTTTTATTATTTTAATTAAAAATTATTATTTTACTTTTATATACATCAATTTAATTTTTTATTTAAATTCAAATACAAATAATTAAATTTAAAATCGAATACGAAAATTAAATTTTTTTATTCGATAAACAAACATAATCAAATGAATTCAAATAATTCAATTTTTTATCTCAATTCAAGTTTAAACTTAAAAATTAAAACTTAATTAAGTTTCAATCAAATTTCATATAACAAATTTCAAATCAAATTCCAACATAAACCTCTATCGATTCAATTTTATTCAATTACATCCTTACTCTATCTCAAATATAAAAAAAATATGGAGAGAGATTTAACTGTAAAGCTGAATCATAGGGCAAAACAAAAGAAAAAAAAAATGCCTCAAAAGCAAAATGAAGCAATATTTTAGCCCTTCAATAAATGCTACGAACAAACCTATTGGGGGGTCTCAAGCTTCCACAACTTCACATTCATTTCTAACCCAATGTATTCACTCAAAAAAAATGTATATTGTTTTTATTTTTGCATCAAATAAAAAAGGACCCAACAGGCCGAAGTGTTTGATAAAGTTAGCCAGCCATTTTGTCGACCAAAAACGTGTTGGAAATGTGTGGAAACCAAGTGCTCAAAGTTTTACCTAAAAATAATAAAGTGCCTTGAAACAAATTTAATTCATCTCGATTTAGATCTTGTTTTTGACAGCTCACCAACATCGTACGGTTTCGAGATAATTTTGTTTTGTGGAAAAACATGACTTTAGATAAGATAATTTGGGCCATTGTTTTTATTGTTAAAGTCAAAGACTAAAATATTGGGGTTTTCCATAGGCTTTAACATCATTCACTATAAAAATAAAAAAGGATTTTGGGGTTTTTTTTTTTTGTCTAATGAGTAATTAAAATCTTTTTCCTATTTTTAAACTAACGTTTTTTATTAAAAGAAAGCCATCATAATTTGCATATAAACTTTTAAATTATCATGTTTTTACTTAGTTTATAGTATAAAGACAAGTAAAGAATGAAGAATATGAGTGAGTGTGAAATAAAAGAATAAAAAATAAATAGAACGTACGAAAACTAACATTCTGAATTAACCTTTACCAATCATGCCATTATCACATTGGAATAACTCAAAATGTCCAATTAGGACAAATGAAGATAATAAAGAAATAATTATGATAGTAAATTAAATAAAGAATGAAACAAATTGAATTTATGGTAGTTCATTTCATTATTAAATGATGTTGAAAAAATTTCTTTTAAATCTCATTTGTTTAATTTGATGATGAACATATATACATACAGAGGATTAAATATAATTATCAAAATACCAATATGAAGTAATTTCTTAAAATGCTATTATCTATGATTACAAACCTCACAAAACCTATTATCATTTAAAGGATTCCTAGTTGTAATTTATTAAGTTCAAAAAAAAAAAAGAAAAAATGGGTTTATGGTGGGGCAGCTTACTCAAAACTTTGGTTCCTTTCCAAAAAATGGAAGAAGTAAACTAGAAAAGAAATTATTCAAAACACTTGTTTTTTCTCATAGTAAACCATTATTTGCAAAAATGTTAGGTCCACAATAATGAGATTATCAATTGTTATCCAGTCACATATAACAAAGCTTGAGCTCACCATCATGCTCAAAAACAATAATATTGTAATAAAAAGTTCAGCATTAATTATGCAAAATATATAAGCTTGGCTAATCAATTACAAACTAAATGTTTGAATCGGTAATTTAATTCAATTAATTTATATAATTATCATTAAAAATAATATTTAACATATTTAAATTTTAAATTTCGGTTCAAAACTTCTTTAAATTTTTTGGATCGTGATTTTAATCACAATTGCAATATCAACAAATCTATAATTCACTGTCTCATCTCATCCTTAGGGTTAAGATAGCCAAGACATCTTTAAACACTAAGCGAAGCCCCATGATCTGAACTACTGGGACTATTACTTGTGAAGAATCTCATTTAGATGGGACCCCAATCCAAATGGAGTAATGGCAAATTTTGTTCTAAAATCGCTTAATATTTGTTTCCAATTAAAACAGTTACATAGATTTTCTCACTTTGGGCATCAAAATTATTCTTTTATTTAATCTTTTCAAAGAGATGAAAGAAAAAGGCAATTTAAAATATCCGAATAAAATATTCGTTTTCTAGAAAAACTTCTGGTCCTTGTATTTGTGTTACTATTAAATTATAATATCTTGTTTTGGCAATATATATAATATATAAATATATATATAATATCTTATGTTGGAATATTTGATGAACTTCAATTTTAGTTGTTTGCTAGGTCCCTCCAATGTGGAGGGAGGATTTTTTATCATGTTGTGAGTGTAAAAACTATTATTTCTTTCGTTTTAATTTGTTTGTTTTATATTAATTTTTATGAAGTTTAAAAAAAATTTGATTTTAACGTATTTAATATTAAAATTAAAAAAGAATTTTTATAAAATTAAAGTTTTATAATTTTTAATACTAAAAAGTAAACAAAATCATAAAAATTAATTTTAAAATATAAAAAAGTAAGAATTTTATATATTAAAAAAGGATATAATTTTAGGATATCCCAAAAAAATGAATGAAAAAATGAAATAGAAGAAATATATTTTAAAAAATTTAATTAATAAAACGACACATAATTAAATTAAAATCTCTTTCACCACATGTTCAAAAAATTATCTTTAGTTAAAATTTCATGAAAACAAAAGGTAGTAGTAAATAAATAAACACCTTACACCATAAGGAAAGAGCACAAGCAAAGCTCAAAGGAATTTCGTGCAACACCATTTTCTTTCCCCTCAATGAATTAACATATAAATAAAACTTGTCAAAGTTAAAAAATCTAGAATACATTAGCAACCAACAATATAAAAATTAAAAACCAAAACTATGAAACATAAATGGCAAAAGAAAACCCAAAAGCTAGGTGCGGGGTAAATAAGTCAATTAGTTTAGGGTTGATGAGGAACAAGAATAGTTTTATTATTGTCACCGTACACATTGGACAGGAAATATTAGGTGAAATTAAAATAATAAAATAAAACAAACACGAGTTTTTGTTTTGAGGGTTTTCCATCTTTAACGGAGTTGTACATTGTATAAAAAGAAAAGCAAAGTTCTGGCTGGCTAAACTAGACTAAATAAGTAATGCTAAATGCCCCATTATAGTATATGGTAACTAGCAACCTCCTCGCAGCTTCCTCAGGCGGCTCTGCCAGCAGTTCTTAATTCGTAAACCCAAATCCACCGTACACCCCTGCACCTTATAATATAATTGATCGAATTTAAATTGAATAACAGTAAATTTAAATTTGAGTTTGAATTTAAATTTAATATTAAAAATTTGATTTAAATATAATTAAATTTTATGTTTTTAATTTAAGCTCAATTTTAAATAAAAATTAAATTTTTTGAATTTATTTAATTAAACTTAATTTTTATATTTAATAAAAATTTAATTATTTGAATTTAAATTTAAAATATTTTATTAATTAAAATATATTAAAATATAAAATTTTAATTAAATTCATGAATTTTTTAAATCAAATATAAAAATATTTAAAATTTAATAAATTTAATTAAATTTAAATTTAAATAATTTACTAATACTAATATATTATTTATACTTTTTCTTTTACACTAAAACAACCCTCCGAAACTCCTTGCACCCCTAAACTTTAAGAGTGTTCTCTCTTCTCTCTCTATAAAATAATAATAATTTAGTAATGTATTAATATATGGGTAAATGTGAGAGCTTCGTCATTAATAGGTGATAATGATGAGGTTAAAAAATAAAAAGGCCAGGTCGGTGGTGTTCGTGTCTTATACGAGTGTGGGGACTGGGGATCACTTAAAAAACACCACGTTTTCCTTCAATTTTTGCTTCCTCTCCGGCTCACCCTCTTTCCTTTCCCTACTTATCTCTCCCTTTCTGTCCTCAAATCGAAACTCTCACTCTTTTCTCTGTTACTTTCACTCTCATTTCCTCTCTCTTCCTTCTACTCAAACAGCGAAAATAAGAAAGCCCACCAAGCAAAAAACTTAACCTTCTGCATTCTTTGTTCATAAGCTTCTGTAAAGTTGCTTGCTTTACATAGTTTGACAGTTCACTGGGTTAGGAGTTCGCATTATTTTGGTTTCTTTTTTTTTCAGTTTTTAAGTGTGTTAAGCAAAACACTGAATCAGAAAGAGGCAATGGGTAAGTCACCAAACTCGGAGACCGAGTCAAGCACTGTTAGCAACAACTCTTCTACTTTGTCTCCACCTTCACCATCCTCCTGCGACGGTAAAAGGAAACCGGGTACTGACCCGACACCCGACTTGAAGAGGCAAAAGCGTCCGAGGTATAGTAGCAAGCAACCGGTTTACCGAGGGGTGCGAATGCGGACGTGGGGCAAATGGGTATCCGAAATCCGAGAGCCCCGGAAGAAGAACCGGATCTGGTTAGGCACTTTCTCGACTCCCGAAATGGCGGCACGTGCGCATGATGTTGCGGCCTTATGCATCAAAGGCAACTCGGCGATTCTCAACTTCCCTGAACTCGCCGGATCGTTGCCCAGACCAGCTTCCAACTCGCCACGTGACGTCCAAGCTGCCGCTACTAAAGCTGCCTCCATGGAGTTCTTGAGTAATAATCGTAACAACATCATTGCCACGTCATCATCATCTTCATCAGGTTCCACGTCATCATCATCAAATGTGGATGACGTGTCAACACCGGAGGAGCTGAGCGAGATAGTGGAGCTGCCGAGCCTAGGGACGAGTTACGAATTTGCCGAGTCAGGGAGCGAGTTCGTGTACTTGGACCCGATTGACGGGTGGCTATGTAATCCCATTGGCATGCCCTGGTATCACGAAGAAAATTACGGGCATTTTGAGGAGGAAATTTCAATTCAAATGCAAGAAAGTGTGATTACGACTGGGTTTGGCCCTTCACTATGGGATCATTAACGCATAACAAAAAAAAAATGAAAAAAAAAAAAAGAACTCTCGAATTTTTTTTTTACCAAATTGCCCTTTTGCAAATTTTTTCTATATGAAAGGGCGAAAAATACATTGCTTTGTCATCAAGATGTTTGTACTCGGTTATACTAGAGTTTTTGGTGTGTCTTTTTTTTTTTTTCAGCAGTGGTCCATGGGGTTAATGTGAATTTTATCAGAGATTTTGAGCTTTAACAATGGTTTCTTCTTCTTCTTTTAGTGTTTGTTTGAGGTAGTTTTTGTAATGATTTTGAGAGTGAAAAGAGTGCTTTGGAGTCATTAAAAGTCATATGTTTCTACTTGGAGTCTTTCAATTTTCAAGTACCCTTTCATTTCAATGAGTTTTTGATAAAACCATTGAATTAATTATTAATAAAAAAATTTCACATGGTGTTATGCACATGATGTGTTTAAATATTTACTGTTTAATAAGATTTACACACCCTGATTTCTGGAAACAAATCTTTAATTTTTATGACTTCTATTTTGGACTAAAGTGTGGTCCTGTCAAATAATTCCCATCTGCCATTAAATTGAAGTGTTTGTTTTGTGTATTGAGAAACGCAAAATGTAATGTTGAAAGACAATTGTGATGTACAATTTGAAAGGTTGATGAAATTTCTGGCCTTTCCCCCCCAACAAGTAGAAAATACATTCTCTTTTTAAAAGTATAAACCATAGTCTATGGATCAGTGAAATGGGAAATTGATGATTCTTCTTGATTATGGTAAAAATTAAAATTAAAAAAAGGAAAATAGTATAATAAATTGTCTGTTAGAGAGGCTTACATCTTCGACGGCTGCATTTCAACGACCATGGTCGTATACTTCTCTCAGGTCCTTACAAATTGTATTTATGAACATATCACTCTGATTCTTCTCTCTTTATTGTTAATATCGATCATTAAGTTAAAATTGAATTAATTGAATTAATTTATATAATTATTTTTACGAAAATATATTCAACAAATTTTTAATTTAAATTTTAATATTTATAATTTTTTTATCTTTAAATTGTGATTTTTTTTACCAAAAATAATATATTTCATTAGGCTCATAATCACTATAGTTTATACTATAATATATCTATGTAACTAGTAATGAGCAAAAAATCAGGAACCGAATAAAAATGGGAACACAGTATTTTTACATCTTGCATATGATCATGTGCAGTGCCAAAGAAACAGTAAAGTCCCGTGTAGTTCACGGCTGGAAAAGTTTGACCAATAATTTTCAGATAGCCCTTGGCAAATACATATATTACGGGGTGCTGAGCTTAACTAAGAAACGAAAAGTCAAAACAACAAAGAACTTGAATTAAATACTACTTCTACCCCAAAAAAAAAAAAAACCCTCAACTTCACCTCGGTTCCACAGTTTTTCCTTTAATTTTCTGGCAAAACTCAGTTGTTTGAAAATGATTGGTTATTTATATCATTTCACCGGCATTAATAAAAAGAGAGGTGTAAATGAACAAAATTTTGATAAATTATTTATAAATATATTTAATTTTTATTCGTTTATTAAACTTAATAAATGATGTTAAATATTATTTTTATATTTTATTAAAAGAATCAAACATGAATAAAAATTTATTTAATTCATTTATATTCATGAATAATTTTTTTTAAAATTATTTATTTATTATTTATTTGTTATTCGTTTATAATAATATTAATAAAATTATATTTTAATTTGTTAACTTAATCTTATTTTAAAATTCATTTATATTCATTTAAGATTTATTTGTTTAAATTTATTTGTTATGATTTGTTTATTATTAATGAACATATTCATTTATATATGTTCATTTAATATTTACGAACGAATTTGTTTAACTTAATTGAATTGAACACGAACTTAATTCGAACCAAACATGAACATCCTATCATTTAAATAAATTAAACTAAAAAAAAATAAAGTAATTTTTTTTATTAAATACGAACCAAACCTTAACACATCAAAAAATAAATGAATAAACCATATACATATATTTATTCATTCATATTCAATTCATTTGGACAATGCTTTGTAATTCAAGCTGGAGGTGCTCAATAGATAAACATTAATCAATCTGAAATTATACGTAACAACCCTTTTTGCAACAACTTTGGGTGTGGGGTGAAGGAGAAAAGAATAAATTTAACAGGCAAATGCAAACCCACAAAATTTTGGTCTTTTATTTTCCTTTCTAATTTTTTCCTACATGTTCAATATCTAGCTCACAAGAATCAGCATCTGCATTAAACTTTGTCATTTCCTGTCTGCTAATGAGCCCGCGACTTCTCCAGTGAAAAAAAAAGCAATGCTTTGGTGGAGTACTTCTCCATTACAAAGAGAAACTTTTTCATTACCAGACAAAAAAAAAAAAAAACTCAAACCCACTTTTCATTTCCTCATCTAATATTTTCTTTGCAGTACGATACCATGGCTTTCTCCACCTATGGAAGTTGTCTTATTTTTGTGAAAAATATACATTAGAGAAGTCAAAACTCCATGACCCATTCCTTGGCTGGAAGATGCAAGATCAAAGCCAATAATATAAATGATAAGATTTTTTTTTTTTTAACATAAGACGAACATAACTCATGGGATAAAGAAAGGAAGCCTTAGCTCGAAATAAAAAATTTTATGTCCTTCTAAGAGTTCCTTATCACTAAGTTAAGAAGTTGAGGATATAGTACCCCATTTTTGCCTCTCACTGTATAAAATATATGTCCTTTTATACTGAATGTATCTGAAGTCATACTATATTTTATGTAGTTGGAAATTGGGAAACCTTAAATCTAGCAATAAGATCACATTAGTTTAGTGTCATTTTAATGCTGGACACAGAAGAAATAAAAAAAAAAATGATCTAATCAAATTAATGTATCGATTATCGATAATTAGTCTAGCTGGGGGAATGAGGCAAATTACTTATACGTAATATTAATGTGGATTAATTTGTACTAATATATAGAGGTAAAGAAATTTGGTTTCGTGATTTCTTCACGTAATCAGTCACGCGTGCACTTTTAATTAGATCGTTGACCTTTGGTTTCTAAGTGGAATTGTTTGGGAATCACAAGTTCTAGCATTTAATTTTTGTTTCTTATTTAAATTGAAGAATAGTACTGTGTGGTTTCTTAAATTTAAAGTGTCAAACTTGTTACTCCAAGGCATGTTGTTCAGATGTGAACTAGCCAGCTATTCCTTATTTGTTGTGTTAAGCTAGCAAATTAACCGTGAACTAGGGGTTTAAAATATAAATAAATAAAGCATTTCATTAATAATTCATAAATGCATCCGATTTTTATTTATTTATTAAATTTAATAATGATCACGAATAATATATTAAATTTCATTAATTAAACAAATATATTATAATATAATAAAAAATTTTATATTCAATTTTTTACACCAAAAATATTGTAAACGAACAATTTTTTAGTAGGTTTTGTTTCTTTATTCATTTATATTTGTTTATTATTTAAGTTTAATAAACTATTACAATTAATATTTTTAAATTTATAAATTAAAAAAATTATAAATATAATTAAATTCTTTCATAGTTCGTTAACATCGTACCATTGATCAACATCACAAGTCATAAATCGGGCGCTAATCATGTGTTTTATTATAATAATCTTTGTTCTCGTGCCCTAATTTTGAAGCGGCACGAATCGAATATTATTGTTTTTGGCAAAAAATGTCACAAGTTAGTGACCTTTTTCCATGATTTAATATCAATTTGCTAATCATTCTTTTTTTTAATAATTAATTCTTAATCATCGTACATAGGTGTGAGTAGAACCCTGCCTTTATAATTTTTTTTTGGCACGCTTCACACGGTATGCGAAAAGGTTGGGCGAGGATTATTGACCAATTGGATTCGGTGGCACTTGCTTCATCGGTTCATCCTTCATTGAATAAGATTAGTAGTTTGCGATTAGCAATATAATAATCCATTAATCAGATGCTATAATCAAGTGAAAAAGGTCGGAAAACCCTAGCTTAACAAACACCTTAGCTTTATCAGTTTCATGGTCCAAAATTTTAAAGTCAATAGCAAGTTCCCTGGTACTTTAGGTGGGGGTTTGAACTTTTTTTTTTTATAAAAATAATTAAGTTTATACAAATAATTAAGATTTATTATTTGTATCGATTGATCTTCGGATCAATTGTTATAATATTAAAATTAACACTTGAATATTATAAATTTAAAAGAATTTTTATATATAATAGGTTTTTTAATTAAATAAATTTAAAAATAAAGAACTTACGAATAAATTAAAAGTTTTAAAAAGATAATTTTTTACGTGCTTGAATCTTGACAATGAAATGTAAAATTTATGCCGACGGTATGTAATAAATCAATAAAATATTAAAATTTTAATTCCAATAATAGCATGATTTAATTCCATGGTGAAGCGGCAACATGGAGAGGCCGCGGAACCGTTCTTTGGGGTGGTGACAGATAAGCTGTCACAGTCCAAAATGACCCAAATATACATCCAGCAAAAGCCAAAGTGTGGAAGGGCGGAGCAGGCGTTGAAAGGATTAAGAAACTGACCAATGAACAGTGACTGTCGGCACACCTCGGTCACTGAACGTGCAATTCTACTGAAACAAACCCCCCCCCCCCCCCTCTCTCACGATCATCAGCCAGCCTCTATTTTCTTTTCTTCACCCGTTCAACTTGCAATTGCTTGCTTGCACGCTTGCTTGCATTGCATGCCTGCTGGCTGGTCCTGGCCTGGCCTGGGCCGCAGGTGGCCCCTTTAGGCAAAGGAAAGGGTGAAATGTTTTTCCAAAATGGTCCCGCTTTCTCGGCTTTGCTCTTTTCAAGATTTGCGGCTATCTTTAACAGATACATTTGTTGACCAGTTGTGACTTGGACCCGGAGGATTTTGGGTTTTATTTATTTGGGCTTAAAAGAAAAAAGTCAACAAAATTGTGGGCTCTTTTATGATGATATTATGATGATATGACACTTATGGCCCAATTTTTCCGATCTATCACATTTCTTCTTCAATCATTCAACTCTTTTTAGATCAAAATTTGGATTTTGGAGAGACAACAGATGGGGTTACAGGGTCCTTTTTCAGATTAGTTGTCATTATTAACATGTCAACTTTGGAATTTAGGTTAGAACCATAAGTTTGACTAAAATTGATTGTTTTCAAAGATGATTCATGATGTATGTATAAAACTCGAGTAAAATAAATTTATTGAGTTTTAGTTGGTTCGTTGCTTAAAATTGGCATCCACCCTTTCTTTTTTTTGTCAATAATTAAGAAGATATATATATATATATATAGCAATAAAAAGATTAAAGGATTTATTTGATTTATAAAATTATGATAAAATAAAATAAAATGTACTGATGCAACAATTTAATTCTTATATAAATTTCCAA